AAAGTAGGCAGAGAGGCAGGCAGAGAGAGAGGAGGAAACAGGCTCCCTGCTGAGCGGAGAGCCCAATGCGGGGCTTGATCCCAGGACCCTGAGATCATGACCTGAGCTGAAGGCAGAGGCGTAACCCACTGAGCCACCCAGGCACCCCTTTTCATTCTATTTTATTGCAGAGTAACATTCCACTGCATGAATATTACATAGTTTGTTGACCCAGTCACCTGTTGATGGATATTTGAGTTGTTTTCAGTTTCTGGCTATTAATGAATACTATGGGCTGAATTGTATTGCCTCAAAATTCATATGTTGAAGCCTTAAGCCCCAGTGTAACTATTTGGAGATAGTCTTTAGGAGGTAATTAAGGTTAAATGATGTCATAACAGCGAGATTCTAAACACATAGAATTGAGGCCTTATAAAAAGACAGAGAGAGCCTCTCTCTCTCTCTCCCTCCCTCCAGGTGAAGATACACATAGAAGGTGGACATTTGCAAGCCAGGAAGAGAGCTTTTACCAGGAACCAAATTGGCTAGCACCTTGATCTTGGACTTGACAGCCTTCAGAACTTTGAGAAATAAATGTCTGTTGTTTAAGCCATTAAACAACAGTCTATAGATGGCTTAAACAACAGTTTAACTGTTTATAGGTGGCTTATGGCAGCCTGAGATGACTAAGACAACAAATAAAGCTGCCATGAATATTCATATGCAAGTCTTTGTGTAGATACCTTCTTTCATTTCTTTTAGGTAAATACCCAGGAGTGGAATGGCTGGATCATATACCTGTTTAACTTAAGATACTGCCAAAGTGTTTTCTTTTTCTTTAAAAAATTTTATTTATTTATTTGACAGAGAGAGACAGATCACAAGTAGGCAGAGAGAGAGGGGGAAAGCAGGCTCCCCGCTGAGCAGAGAGCCCAATGCAGGTCTCGATCCCAGGACCCTGAGATAATGACCTGAACGGAAGGCAGAGGCTTCACCCACTGAGCCACCCAGGCGCCCCTGCCAAACTGTTTTCTAAAGATGCTATATCATTTTATATTACTATCAGCATTCTCTGAGCATTCCATTTCCTCCATATCTTCTCCAACAGTTGGTATTGTCAGACTTTTTTACTTTCAGTCATTCTGCTGCTACGTGTACAGTGGTGCTTCATCATGATCTCCACTTGTTTACCCTAAAGGCTAATAATAATTGAACATTGTCAACACAATTATTTGCCATCTATATATGTTTTCTGATAAAGCATGTGTTCAAATATTTTGCCCATTTTTATGGGGTTGTATTATTAAATTTGGGCCATTGTGTGTGTATTATGAATACAATTCTTTTTTTTTTAATTTTTAAGATTTTATTTATTTATTTGACAGACAGAGATCACAAGTAGGCAGAAAGGCAGGCAGAGAGAGAGAGGAAGGGAAGCAGGCGCCCTGCCGAGCAGAGAGCCCTATGCGGGGCTCGATCCCGGGACCCCGGGATCATGACCCGAGCCGAAGGCAGCGGCTTTAACCCACTGAGCCACCCAGCGCCCCATGAATACAATTCTTAAGAAGAGTGATTTGCACTGTCTTTTGAAAAGCGGAAGTTTGGTATGCCTGGGTGGCTCAGGTGGTTAAGTGGCTGTCTTCCCATCAGGTCATGATTCCAGGGTCCTGGGATCGAGTCCGAGTCCAGCATCAGGCTCCTCACTCGAGGTGAGCCTACTTCTCCCTCTGTCTGCCTCTCCACCTGCTTGTGCGCGCTCTCTCTCACTCTCTCACTCTCTCTCTGATAAATAAATAAATAAAAATCTTAAGGGGCACCTGGGTGGCTCAGTGGGTTAAAGCCTCTGCCTTTGGCTCAGGTCGTGATCCCAGGGTCCTGGGATCGAGCCCCGCATCGGGCTCTCTACTCGGTGGGGAGCCTGCTTCCTCCTCTCTCTCTCTCTCTGCCTGCCTCTCCGCCTACTTGTGATCTCTCTCTCTGTGTCAAATAAAATCTTAAAAAAAAAAATCTTAAAACATAATTTTTAAAAAGGCAGAAGTTTGGGGCGCCTGGGTGGTGCATCTGCCTTGGGCTCAGGTCATAATAACCAGAGTCCTGGGATCGAGCCCCATATTAGGCTCCTGTTCAGCAGGAGAGCCCGTTTCTCCCTTTTCTTCTGCCTGCCACTCCTCCTGCTTGTGCTCTGTCTCTCGCAATCTCTCTCAAATACATAAAATCTTTAAAAAAGAAAAGCAGATGTTTTGAATTTTGGTGACGTTCAATTAATCCATTGGTTCCTTTATGGATTTTGCTTTTGATATCCTGTCTACACAACCTTTGCCTAACCCAAGGTCACAAAGTTTTTCTCCTATTCTTACTTTCAGAAATTGTATAGTTTGAGGTTTTACATTTAGGTCTATGATCTAATTTGAATGAAACCATTTTGGTGTTTTTTTTAAAAGATTTTATTTATTTGAGAGAGAGAGAGAGCACGTGTGTGAGCACAGTTTAGGGGGAGGAGCAGAGGGAGAGGGGGAAGCAGGCTCCCCACTGAGCAGGGAGCCCAGACACAGGGCTCAACCCCAGGACCCTGAGACCATGACCTGAGCCCAAGGCAGACACTTAACCCACTGAGCCACCCAGGTGCCCCCGAAATGAAACCATTTTTAAAAAACCATTCTATAGGGATGCCTGGGTGGCTCAGGTGGTTAGGTGTCCAACTCTTTTTTTTTTTTTAAAGATTTTATTTATTTATTTGACAGAGATCACAAGTAGGCAGAGAGGCAGGCAGAGAGAGAGAGAGAGGAGGAAGCAGGCTTCCCGCTGAGCAGAGATTCCCTGAGCCTAAGGCAGAGGCTTTAACCCACTGAGCCACACAGGCGCCCCTCCAACTCTTGATTTTGGCTCAGGTCATGGTATCAGGGTCATGGGATTGAGCCCTGAGTTGGGCTCCATGCTCTGAGCAGAGTTGGCTTGAGATTTTCTCTCCTTCTCACTCTGCGTCTCCCCCGCTCACAAGCGCTCTCTCAGATAAATAAATAAATCTTAAAAAAATAGTTCAGTCCTGCTTCATCCACGGATACAAAAAGTCTCTACCCATTAACCAATAACACCCTATCCCCCCTCCCCAGCTACTGGTAATCTCTATTCTACTTTCGGTCTCTATTGATTGGCCTACTCTAAGTACATTGTGCAAGTGGAATCAAACACTATTTGCCTTTTTGTAATTGACTTATTTTCACTCAACATAATGTCTGCAAGGTTCATTCATGTTGTAGCATGTGCCAGAATTTCATTCCTTTTTAAAGCTGAATAATATTCTACTGTATGTTTATACTACTTTTGCTTATCCATTCATCACTTGATGTACATTTGGACTGTTTCCATCTTTTGGCTATTGGGAATGGTAATACTGTGAACATCTGCATGCAAGTATCTGTTTGATTCTCTGCTTTCAGTTCTCTTGTGTAATACATCTAGGCACGGAACTGCTGGACGATATGGTAAGACTACATTTAACTTTCTGAGTTAACCCCAAACTGTTTTCGACTGTGGCTGCATCATTTTACATTGCCACTGCGAGGCAGAAGGGTTCTAACTTGTTCCCATCCAGAAGGTTCTTTACCAATTTTCTGATAGTAGCCACTCTACTGGATGTGAGGCGGTATCCTACTGAGGTGAGAGTGAGTTTATTTTCCCACCATTTACCACAGATTCCATCCTTTCCATCTGATTTGTAGTGCTATCTATACATTATGTTTCAAGTTCTTATATATACTTATATCTAAAACCCCAATGTCTCATTGATTAGTTTGTCTTTGCTCCATGCTCAGCCTGACACTCTTTTTATTACTGTGTCTTTGTAGCGTGTCAAATTCTGAAATCCATGTGCTCCCTCTTTGTTTCTGAGGTTGACGGGGCCCATCCCACAACAATTGTGAGTCCCAGTGTGAGAATACAAGTGGAGGCCCACATATTATAAAGCTAAATGTCTAAAAGTAATAAATCAGGGTAGCTATTAAATAAAATCGAATGTACCCTCCAACTCTGAAAAATACAATTCCAATACAAACTCATAAGAAAGGCGGTTCCCAACCCGGATATCACTGTGTTGTCAATGTCTGTGTAGGTGTCCCTTCTTCCAGAAAGAGGGCCTACTAATACCGGAGCCCAGGGCTGTTTCAGCCTCATGGACCCAGCCGCCTCTGCATGGGGCTGACCTCTGACCAGGTGTTAGAGAATGTCCATAGAATACATAAAGGAATGAGAATTCTATGGAGAACTCTGCAATATAGGGTCTCAATCTTCCCCTACCCAACACCAGACTCCAGCTGGGACAGGTGTGGGCAGCCAGACAAAGACCCCAGTACAGACAGACAGAGGCCCAGAAAGGCCAGTGACCGCGGTGACCAGCACTGCCCTAGAGTACTGGGGAAGTCCCCAAGGGGAGTTCAAGGGGACTGGATCTTGGAGGAGACAGTGGGAAGGCTTCCCAGTGAAGGAGAGGATGGGGGAGCCTTGGGATCAGCCTTGGTTTTTCTCCTCAATCCAGTTCTCCTGAGAAGACTCAGGAAAATAAAGCAGCCTAAACTCTTCCTCACAGAAAGAAACACGTAGGTTTACAATTCTACATAGCCAATCACCCATCTTCTGCATTCCTTTTCAGAACTGGATGGATGGAAAATTAAAGCCTTAAAAATGGGCCTTGATGGGGCACCTGGGTGGCTCAGTGGGTTAAGCCTCTGCCTTCAGCTCAGGTCATGATCTCAGGATCCTGGGATCGAGCCCCGCATCTGCATCAGGCTCTCTGCTCAGCAGGGAGCCTGCTTCCTCCTCTCTCTTTGCCTGC